GAGGATTTGTTCTCCCGCAACACTTCGAGGATTTCTTTTCCCGCGATACTTCAATACCTAGAAGATTACTTCAATAGAACTCCAATGCGAGTCTTTCCCAAGGAAGGGCCAGACTGCATTTGTTTGCCGCGTTGTGTTTTTCTGCACGGACTGCTCTTCATATTTACTCAACTTCTCGGCTGTAGAAAGTGCACATTTCGCTTGGATTTACTGTGAGCCAGTAGGATAAGTGAAACGAAACCATTGGCTTCTGGCCGTGTCGTCGCCGTAGGAATAATATCGCTCAATTTGAGCCTGTGGCAAAGTCACGAGGTGTGTTTCGTCCCCTCCAAGGGACGTTCATCTTTAGCAAGAACTAGACGTAAAAGAATAGCTACTAGAACAGCTAGTATCGTCATCTATATTTTGTCTATTCTAGAGCATCTGGCACAATGAATTAAAGAACTATGCTAGTCCATGATCAATAAGTTCGCCAAGACTTACAGATGACAACCTCACAAGCAGCAGGTATCGAAGATTCCGTCACTGATCTCCTGGCACCCTTTTCCTGGCTCCGTTTCTTTGTACCTCCTTCACTATTCATAATGTAGTACAAGATCAGAGCATCCTACTCTAAATGATGTCTTGTCTCGACCCTGGCTGCCTGCTGACTGCCTAACTGACGACGAGCGACGAAGGCTTAAAAATCCCCCCATTATGTCGTCCAAACAGCTTTTGTCGGTCATATTATTTGTATCCTTTGGCTGAGTTCATTCCACCCCGTGGCATCTGTACCTTTCAGCAAAAGCGATAGTTAAAAAAGCAACTTTTGGTTTGGTTAATGATGATCAGTTCCACCATCATGATGCTGTGCACTAGGCTGGTATCCAATCCCTATACCGTCCTTCTACCTCCAGACCTGCATCAGATAATGAATCAGTAATGAAGACATGACCACCAACAAACAGCCGCATTCAACTATTGTGGTGGGGAGGAAACAGCTAACAACGTGCATACCGAAAGCCAATCAGACTATTCTTCCAGCGTTTCAAGTGATCGTTTTCGGGCAACAGTACTATCCGCTGGTGAGGGTGCCTTTGTGCTTCGCCTGCTGACCTTCAGTCGGTCACGAACAGTGCGGAAGGTGCTGCTCACTCGTTCCCTCGCTAGTCGTTCGGCTGCCAATTCCCAAAACCCATTGTCGTCTCTTGAAAGGAATCGAACACCGGCATCCTTCATTTTGGCCATCGTCATCTCCGCTAGCTTTGTCTTGTCAAGACGATTTGCAATCTCATCATATTCTTCCAACTGCGATTCCGCAATCAATCCAAGCCGAATATTCTACAGATACAAGAGTAGTACACAGTACATTGAGAATGAGAACTGCTAGAGCTGGGCCATTGCAATATCAAAACGTCGCAACACTTACCCCTGGGTGGTTTTGAATAGGCTTGCCTCTCCCTAGTAAGACATCCGTTGCTGACGGCACCAATACAGTCAACTTCTCCGGTGTCAGCAACTTAGCTACCTCTATACTTTTGATCACTTTCATCAGTTCTCGATGTTTCTCCGTCTTCTTTTCACCAGACTGTGACACTGCAAGCAGGATACTGTTGATCCCGAAAGTGGAGAGACGTTCGTTGACTTCGTGGAATGATACTTTCGAAGTGCAAAAGTTAGAACATTGCTGGCGTCCACAAATTCATCCAATTCTCGCACTTTGGACCGGCTTTGTTGCTTACCTTGGTGAAAGCGAATGCGGACGATACCTGCATCTCCCACAAAGCGTGCCATGGACGAGAAAAACTTCCCACTAAATGAGGAAGGATCGGTACAAATGTGGGTCCCTACAAATCTCAGCGGAATGGCTTTTTGCAGCATATGAATACTCTCCCAAATGAGGACTGGGTCGTAACCCTTTGGATTTCTCGGCTCTGAAGATTCACTGAAGAGCGAGTGTACCACGGTGATGGCTCCCTTTTTCTGGGTCTCTTCGTCCATCAGGGCCGCCATACACAGATGAAATATCATTCTCAGCTTCGAATGCGCACCAACAATACTGTAAGAATCAGCCGTTCTTCCAGAACCAGTCCATTCGACCACAAACCGACTTACCACGTTCTCCCTTTGGTCCCAGGTAGTATAATGAGGCAGATTTACGAATTGCGCCCTCCCCACATGATCCCGATGGGGAAGGAGCTGGAAGAAACCAGCAGAATACGACTTCATGTCATCTGGGGACAGATCGGCCAAAGTGATCATTTTCTTACCAATCTTATCTGGCCCAAAGAGCCGCAGCTTTTGTTTGAAGAACACAAAAAGGCGGTTGGTAGCGGCGTCAATATTGTAGTTCTCACAACGAAGGAACATCAGAAGGAAGCTACTGTCCGTTGTATACGCTGAAGATTCGGCATCAGCCATTCGAAAGGCCGATGATGATCTCCAGTGAAGCCTTTCTGAAAGAAGCAATCTCATCTTATTCACCAGCACTTGCTCTTCACCGGTGCTCTTATCGTCGATGCCACCAATACCATGGATGTCATGAAGACCAGCCTCTCGCTCTTGAACGGAGATGGAGTTCACTCTTGAAGTCAAATCTTTTATTATCTCATTGCCATCTTCATCTGCAAGCGCGCTAAAGTCAGGAGCATCTCCGATTTCCCTATCGTTGATCGACAGATTATTTGTTTTCCCATCATCTGCCATCGCATCGTTCTAGGTATTTGTGTTGTTTTAGAGCAATAGTGAGGAGAAATACAAGTAGCCCTTTGTTGTACGCGCACTACGTCCTGTCGTCTTCTGCGTTCAGATTACATACCTGTGGTTGCGACGTTTCAGAAAGGTCCCACCGACATATTCTTCGTCAGCGTCCGGTGGGTGATACACGTACGGCTATTCGATACGTACCGGTAACAGGTACATTTAAAAGTACCTATAATACTTCTCATGCGAAACATGACGAATCGTAAAGAATTCCTACCTTTCTGTGTAGTTCCCACAACACTTGAATGGAGGAGTTCTTCTCGTCCATGGAACTCCAATGCCAGTGAGTCTTACGCAAGGAAGGGCCAGGACGGTACTGGCCTCGTTGCTTTCCGTTTCCCTTTGATGTACTACCTGTACTGGCACACGCCGAATAAGTGAGCTAAAACGACGGTGAAGACTACTGCTCTTCATATTTACTCAACTTCTCGGCTGCAGAAAGTGCACTTTACTGTGAGCCGGTAGGAAACTGTGAAACGAAACCATTTTTTTTCTGGCTGTGTCGTTACTGTAGGAATAATATCACTCAATTTGACCAGCTAATATAGCCATATATATATTATGTCTAGCATCTGGCACAATGAATTGAACTATGCAAGTCCATGATCAATAAGTTCGCCAAGACTTACAGATGACAACCTCAAAAGCAGCAGGCATGGCTCCGTTTCTTTGTACCTCCTTCTCTATTCATAAAGTAGTACAGGATCAGAGTATCCTATTCCGTAACTGGTCTCCTGGCACCCCCTCCTGGGACCCTTCCTTGCTCCGTTTCTTTGTACCTCCTTCTCTATTCATAATGTAGTGCAGGATCAGAGCAGGATCCTACTCTAAATGATGTTCGAATGCATCTCGATCCTGGCTTCCTGCTGACTGCCTTGCCGAAGAGCGACGACGACTTTAAAGTCCCCCACTTGCGTCGTCCAAGCAGCTTTTGTCGCTCATATTGCTTATTGGTATCCTTTGGAATCTGCACCTTTCAGCAAAAGCGATAGATTAAAAAGCAACTTTTGGTTTGGTTGATCATGATCAGTTCCACCATCATGATGCTGTGGACTTGGCTGGTATCCAATCCTATACCGTCCTTCTACCTCCAAGATGACAATGAGGAATGCCAGTCGCGACGTGGATCAGATAATGAATCAGTAATGAAGACATGGCCACCAACAAACCACCGCATTCAACAAAGCTAACGTCGTAAATATCGAGACAACCGAAAGCCAATCAGACTATTCTTCCAGCGTTTCAAGTGATCGTTTTCGGGCAACAGTACTATCCGCTGGTGAGGGTGCCTTTGTGCTCCGCCTGCTGACCTTCAGTCGGTCACGAACAGTGCGGAAGGTGCTGCTCACTCGTTCCCTCGCTAGTCGTTCGGCTGCCAATTCCCAAAACCCATTGTCGTCTCTTGAAAGGAATCGAACACCGGCATCCTTCATTTTGGCCATCGTCATCTCCGCTAGCTTTGTCTTGTCAAGACGATTTGCAATCTCATCATATTCTTCCAACTGCGATTCCGCAATCAATCCAAGCCGAATATTCTACAGATACAAGAGTAGTACACAGTACATTGAGAATGAGAACTGCTAGAGCTGGGCCATTGCAATATCAAAACGTCGCAACACTTACCCCTGGGTGGTTTTGAATAGGCTTGCCTCTCCCTAGTAAGACATCCGTTGCTGACGGCACCAATACAGTCAACTTCTCCGGTGTCAGCAACTTAGCTACCTCTATACTTTTGATCACTTTCATCAGTTCTCGATGTTTCTCCGTCTTCTTTTCACCAGACTGTGACACTACAAGCAGGACACTGTTGATCCCGAAAGTGGAGAGACGTTCGTTGACTTCGTGGAATGATACTTTCGAAGTGCAAAAGTTAGAGAATTGGCGTCCACAAATTCATCCAATACTTGCTCTTTGGACCGGCTTTGTTGCTTACCTTGGTGAAAGCGAATGTGGACGATACCTGCGTCTCCCACAAAACGTGCCATGGAAGAGAAAAACTTCCCACTAAATGAGGAAGGATCGGTACAAATGTGGGTCCCTACAAATCTCAGCGGAATGGCTTTTTGCAGCAACTGACTGCTCTCCCAAATGAGGACTGGGTCGTAACCCTTTGGATTTCTCGGCTCTGAAGATTCACTGAAGAGCGAGTGTACCACGGTGATGGCTCCCTTTTTCTGGGTCTCTTCGTCCATCAGGGCCGCCATACACAGATGAAATATCATTCTCAGCTTCGAATGCGCACCAACAATACTGTAAGAATCAGCCGTTCTTCCAGAACCAGTCCATTCGACCACAAACCGACTTACCACGTTCTCCCTTTGGTCCCAGGTAGTATAATGAGGCAGATTTACGAATTGCGCCCTCCCCACATGATCCCGATGGGGAAGGAGCTGGAAGAAACCAGCAGAATACGACTTCATGTCATCTGGGGACAGATCGGCCAAAGTGATCATTTTCTTACCAATCTTATCTGGCCCAAAGAGCCGCAGCTTTTGTTTGAAGAACACAAAAAGGCGGTTGGTAGCGGCGTCAATATTGTAGTTCTCACAACGAAGGAACATCAGAAGGAAGCTACTGTCCGTTGTATACGCTGAAGATTCGGCATCAGCCATTCGAAAGGCCGATGATGATCTCCAGTGAAGCCTTTCTGAAAGAAGCAATCTCATCTTATTCACCAGCACTTGCTCTTCACCGGTGCTCTTATCGTCGATGCCACCAATACCATGGATGTCATGAAGACCAGCCTCTCGCTCTTGAACGGAGATGGAGTTCACTCTTGAAGTCAAATCCTTTATTATCGCATTGCCATCTTCAGCTGCAAGCGCGCTAAAGTCAGGAGTATCTCCGATGATCTCCCTATCGTTGATCGACATATTAGTATTTGTTTTCCTATCATCTGTCATCGCATCGTACTGGGTATTTGCGTTGTTTTAGAGCAATAGTGAGGAGAAATACAAATATATGTACGCGCTCTACGTCCTGTCGTCTTCTGCGTTCAGATTACATACCTGTGGTTGCGACGTTTCAGAAAGGTCCCACCGACGAATTCTTCATTAACCCTTTTGCGAACAAATCTGAGAAACTCTCAGATTTAAGACCCCGATCCGCGAATTCCCAACCCAAAATGTGGCAGGAATTTGGAATTCTGGTGACAAAGTAAAAATTTCAAAAAGCAGCTATGGACCTAGAACCTTTTCAGGTCGCTAGAGAATAGTTT